ACGCGGAGCTCTCAAGCTCTATAGGAATAGAGGTAACTTAATTTAGATTCATCGTTGTTCATCGAACACCCTAGTTCGAAAATTATTTGATGGTTTGCTTCTGTTTGATCTGTTTGTTATATTCTTTGAAAACATAATGCATTATAATTAGTAAATACTCCGTTTAATACATGTATATGTACCCGTATATATTGTATCCGTTCAAAACTTCCGTATCCATATTATTGTCAAGTCGTTTTATTTTTTCCCTTTCATTTGATGGCTCCCATACTAAACACGTATAAAACCCGTATAATACGTTTAATATCCGTATCTAATGAATTAAATTGTTAGCTTTACTATTATTTATATTCATTTATTTTAAAAAATAATTAATTTAATATATTTATCACTATTAACGTACTATTAAACGTAGCTTTAATTTAGAGACGAAGTAAAATACCCGTACGTATTTTATACGTAACTTTCCCATACCATATTTTACTAACTACACGCGCGTTTCCATGGTGAAATATATACCTATTGAACTTCACCATGATATAAAAATACAAATTCAATTATAGTACAATTAACAACGACTCAATTAATTAACTTATATGATTGAAAACTTTTTTTTTTTTTGCCATAGATAGAATGTAGATAGACAGGAGATTACAAGGGGTTGAAAAGTAAATAGCGGCAGTCAACCAAATGTCGAGCTGCCGATGCAAGGGCCGTTTTTGCCACTAAATGGGCAGCCCTGTTAGTCCTACGCGAAGCAAAAACAAACTTAATGAAAAAGAAGCTTGACTTCAGCAGCCTGATCTCCTCCAGGATTGCCCCACCGGTCTCATGGTGTACCTCATTCTCCGCAGCCCGTCGTATCACTAATTGAGAGTCTCCACAGAAACAAACGTTAAAATATCCATGATTAACGCACCAAACCATAGCATCACGAAGAGCAAGAAGATCCGCGAGAAAAGGATCGGTCAAACCTGGATAAAATTTACCATATGCACAAACCACGGAAGAGCCTGCTGCGTACCCAACAAATCCCGTGCTGCCTCCTGTGCTCTTATTAAATGCTCCATCAAATCTAAGAAGGAGGCCGCCCGGGGGATTGGAGATGGTCGGATTCGGCGTAGGCTGCTGCCTCCCTGCCGTCGGGTTACGCGGCTGACTGGCCGATGCGGCCAGCCACTCATCCACTTGGACCCGGAATTGGCGGTGAAGAGCAATGGGAAGGTACTGCACATGGTCATGAACCGACCAGCATCTTCCTTTCCAAATGCGCCATACTAGGAAGACAACTTCAGCAACCTGCACTTTGGATAACTGGGAGTTAAAGAAAATATGATGCCAGGCAGCATCTTGACTGAGTTGACAGACCGCCACCCGAATTGTGTCTAATCCAGCTAACTCCCATACACCCCGTGCTATCCTGCAAGAGAAAAAGCAATGGGAAAAGGATTCAGCCCCATCTGCACAAATCGGACATATGTCCTCCTCAACTAGTGTTATCTGTTTAAGCACAACACACAGAGGGAGGAAGCCCCGCACAAGGCGCCATAGGAAAAATTTTAACTTCGGAGGCACAGGCAAATTCCACATAAATTTCCAGAATTTGGAATCCAAAGGGACTGGGAGCGGATCAAATCCTGAAGAGCGATCAGCCGACAGGAGCTGATAGCCGGACTTCACCGTGTAGATGCCCGAGGTCGAGTAGTGCCAGATGAGGCGGTCCGGCATTGGAGCAGAAGGTAGTGGGATAGACAGAATCCACTTGATACTTTCTTTTGATTTCTTAGATTGGCGAAGCCCCGGAGTTATAGCAGATCAAGTCCCTTTTAGGCTTTTACCCATTGTTGGGAGGGGCTCAAGATAGCGTGTTATGCACCCATCAGTAACTAAATCTGGACCCTTTATTCAGAAAATGCAGATCTAAGGGTGGAGAATTAAAAGCATTTTTATTTTTCATTGTTTTCTTAATCGACTCATATCTTCTTCGTTTTAACTCGGATTTCAATTTTTTTGCATAGATGGAACGAGTTCGTTGTACTCTACAAAATAAAATCAATTTTCAATATTTTTTTAGGAAAAAAAAATTCTTGCCTCTCGGTACCAACTGGATACCATATGGTATCTTCTTCGTTTTTAATTCGTTTTTTAAAAAATTTCACAGAGGAGCGAGTTCATCATTATCTATTGGATCTACAAATTTATGGGTGAACAAAATACGGAACCAAAAAAATACCACACAATACCACCCTGATACGGGGTGGTATCTTGTAGTACACAATGTTAAAAGTCGTAAATGACAATTAATATATTTCTACTATCATGTATTCAACCATCATACGGTCTTCGTTTGTTCATACTACCATGATACGCTTTTCATACCATAAGTATGCTCTTATTTCAATAATAGTTCTTTTTTTTTTTGTTCCAAAAATATATCAAAGTGGATATCATTTTGAAGATCGTAATTAATTTGATCTAAGTGTGCAAAAAAATTAATTTGTAACTTAAAGCGAGTGATAAATCGTTCGTTAAAGATTAAGTGGGGAAATTAAAGGCTTTCAGAAAAGAGATTGATGATTAAATTATGCATGGTTACTCAAAGATAAGGTTATTTACTAGATCCGCTGGTTAGGAGGAGGAAAAGGAAAAGGCTAGTATTATTTAACAACCGTATTATTTGGATCGTACGCCGTAAAGCTTCTCCCCAACCAAGAAGGAAAGAAGAAAAGATGCGAAATTCAAAGCCAAAACCCTCCACCGGCGGCGATTGCCCCGCCGAGATCCCGGAGGAGGTTATTATGAGTGACATCTTGTTGAAGATTACGGACGGTGCGTGCTTGGCTCGATGCCGCTGCGTCCGCAGATCATGGCGCGATTACCTCTCGGCCCCGTCTTTGATCCGGCATAAGCTCCTCCTCCCATCACCAGATTCGCCTTCTGATTGTGAAATTATGATTCCCGGCTTCGTCAATGACGACTACCGTCTGTACTCTCCGGACACTCTGGAACTCCTGACGCCGCCTAACTATTCCTCCATTCGGGACCTTGTTCCTGATGTTCAATACGCCCTCTTTGCAGGATGCTGCAATGGTTTAGTCTGTTTATCTTGCGTCTTTTTCGACCACCACGACACCAGCGTCTTTCTTTGGAACCCAGCGACCTCCGAAACCAAGGTTCTCCCTCCTTCCTCCTCTCTCAATCCCAAGTACTATACAGCAATTGGGTTTGGTTTCGACGCGGAAAAGAAAGACTACAAAATCTTTAGGCAATTTCATTACCACTGTCCTGATAAGCATCTGGTGGAGGTCTACAGTTTGAGGAAAGGTTCGTGGCGGATTTTGGAAGGCAATTACCCAAGACTTGCGAATGGGCAAGTTCCCAGATGTCGGAAAGGGAAAATGTATTGGCGGGAACACGAGGTCAACCGCCGGAATGTTTTGATGTTCTATTCCTTCAGCATTAGCAGGGAAGCTTTCGAAAGAGTTGAGGTGCGTCTCCCCGTGACTGTTTATGATCGCAACCTGAGTGGCATCTCTGAATGCTGCTTCAGTGAGGAGTCCATGGTAACTCTTTTTAAGTTCTACGATCATAATACCAAGACCATGCGTATGGGAATATGGATGCTCTTGAAATATTGGGTATCAGAATCGTGGATCAGGTTGTTTGTAATTACAGAGCATCATCCTATAGTGGACGTGGTTGATTCCGTGGGATTGTTGAGGAATTTGAGATGCTTTTTCTTGGGACGGATTAAGAGCACTCATAAATGCTGCATTATTGTGTTTGATCTTGCGACAGGAGAACTGAATCATTTCGAAACATATAGACAATGTCCAACGAACATCACAAGTTATATACCTAGTCAATTTTCTCTCAGAGATTATGACTTGTAAATTCAAATCATATATAGTGAGATTTTTATGGAGAGTGAATGGAGTTTTTTTTTTTTTTTCTTCTTGCTTGGTAGAAATGCTTAACGGACTTTTTTTTACATCAGAGGTTGTATTTGTATGGTCTATGGATGATGGTCTTGTGTGGTATTGTCACATTATCTACCGGCTCGATCGCAGATCTCGAAGGAGCTTATTATGAGCTATATCTCGTTAAATATCACGGATAGTGCATGAGTTGCTCTCAAAATTCGAGGAATTTAATTGACATGCTCTTTCATCACAATGAAAGAGGATGGCGATGAATACATGCATGATTGTCCTTCGCGAGGAGGTGGATGATAAGAAACTCTCATGTCCAATTTTGGACTAGAGATAGAATTGAAAAACAATCATCAACTAAACAACATAGAAGCGCTTGTATTTGTTTCGATAAATATGTTCTCCAAACACTTGAATCCACGTGGATTACATCTAGACCAAATATAAGCAGGCTACCTTGCAATCACAAGAAACACACGGCGTGGTGAGAAAATATAGGTATGTATATTTTTTGACAAACTTGTTACCCTAAGACCTACAAAAACACGTGAGTTTAGAGAAGAGATCTCCTGAATATTGGTAGTTGCCATCAAACCTAGCAGAATACAATATAAAATGGGCAGAGTAGGAGAAAATGTAATCCGAAATTCTATTTCAAACGCAGTGTCCAAAATGTAGATTTGAACTCGGTTTATTATTTAAGGACTGAAAAGGGAACCCAAAGGCAAGAAAGGCCTTTGGAATGAAAAATCATGATTTTTCTTTTGTTTTGAACAACCAATTTTATTTTTCTCGGTGAAATAACATATTCAAAAAATGATATGATTCATTGGCATACCCATTTGAATGTAGAGCATATAATAGTGGCCCCCCGATAATTAATGTGCATATGAATCATAGGGACTAGTAATCAACGATATGCTGATATTGGTGATGTTATCGTTGTTGTTATAATAGAAGTAATACCAAATTCACCTTTAGAAAATCCAAAGTGATAAAAACGGTAATTGTATGTACTTGTAAACAAGTCAAATGCAACATTGATATAAAAATACGATATGATGACAAATGACAATGTTGCAGTTGTCACTGATAAGGAAGGAAATTCATAGGCAACTCGAATTTTTGGTGCAATCACGCAAGAGTTGGGACAGGTGAACTTTACTAAAATTATTTCATATCATTGCCCGAAATATTTTAAACCAAGTATTGTAAGTTGAAATAAAACAATTAAAGATGAGATCATCATTTGTTTGTCCCTAAGCAAAAAGGAGAAATAATCAAATGAGAAGTAAATACACAATAAAAAAAAATAAAGATACTATGACTCACAAAATGACACACTACCACTACGACTCGATAAAAACATTGTTAATTGAGTGAATGTGAGGCTAGTTGTGGACCTACCATGCTACGGTGTATACATCTAATTTCATATCTTATCTTCAGATTCCACCTTTCCTTGCATACCAATGTTTTCGAGATTACACATAGAATTAACACATTAATAGTGAATTGTGCCAAAACTTATTTAAACATAGAATAAGGTAAGTTAAGAGTGAAAACATGACATGTATATTTTATCACGAACCATGTGTAATTCACTCAATCACACAAGTGTTTAAGGCTTGATGTTTACGCTCGAGTTTTCCATTACTAGTGCTTACTTGAATCTTGCTCTTCAACCTCTATGGAACCGATCAGTTCCAGCACAAGGAAATCAAGATGACAATATACTGATAATACATGTAAGGCTATGGGGTAAAGTGAAGTTTTAGAGGATGGAAATAGTGATGCTCATGAGCAATGCGCTACAAAAGTAGACCCAAATGAAAAACGTCTGTTTGCGCTGAAACTTCGCCTAGTACCACACCCTTCCACCAAACCTTCGAACGAGAGCCCCAACTGCGCTTGTTGTTGCTAATATCACCTCCAACCTCCGATGCACGTATTGGCGTGTGCTCCATGCATTTTCAATCTCAACTTCGGCCGCCTCTTTGTCCCCACTTTTCCCTTTTTCGCCACATCGCCGCAAAATCCAATTTTCGGCAACTCCAAGTTTTACCACACATTCTTTACCTCTATTCTTTCATTTTCCATGTTGATTTGTTCCACATTTCTTCATATTTCTTGAGAATTCGAGTTTTAGGGTTCATATTTGGAAATTTTGTCGGTTGTGAAAAATTGACCAAGTTAGGGAAGGGGAATTGCTCTAAATGCTTCACAGATGTTTTGTGATGTTGTGGGATTGATGAGTTGTTTCTAAGTTGAAAATTTGTTTGAATTGTGCTTGATAATGAATTATGGTCACCAAGTGGTTGTCAAAATGACTCAATGAACTTACCCTTTCAAGGGTTGGTTGTGTTATGTGTGCTTGAGCATTGAACTTGTTTGCCTTGGGAACTCAATGGTTTGTGAATGTATGTGGTTTGACACCGTTTGGGATTGTGTTTATGGTACGTTTTTTTCTTGAGCTTTTGTTTCTCCTTGCATTTTGTGCGTAATGTACCATACCCCAATGCTTGTTTTAGGATAGTAATTGTGATTTATTTGATCTAGCAGTGACCTAGAATGACTTCATTGGGGTGGATTCAATCTCAATTGCCTTCAATCCTTTGCTCTAACCCTATTTACCCACCCATGTTTCCCCTAGTCACTTAGCTAAGGGTGGAGATCGAGTGTCTAAGGTTGATCAAGGGTGTACGTGTACCATTCCTTGTTATGAGTTTTCTTTGTTGCAAACATACTTCTTTATTACTTGTGGACTGGTTTGTCTCGTTGGTTGCAATGTGTTGTAGGTCAATGGCTCTATACAAGTTAACAATTATCTAAATGAGTCATCCAATGCTCGGGGGGTAAGAGTAGTCACCTCAACCTTGGTGCACCGACCGAGGAGCCCTGGCCCGGGAGGTACCATCACCACGACCACGACAAGCAAATCAGGGCCAAGTTCAAAGGGCACCATCTCCTCCCAGGAGCCCTAGCTCGAGAGATACCATCACCACAACCACGACAAGCAAATCAAGGCCAAGTTCGAAGGGCGCTATCTCCATTAAGAGCACCTCCCTCCCAACTGCACTTGCCATTGCTTCTCATCATGAATACCTACTCAGCATCAACCAAGTCATATACCGGAAGCTCACCCTCGAGGGGACCACCATCTTGACCGCTTTGCCTAAGCTGGCACTAATCGCCCCAATATCACTTCCTCGAACATCAATCAACACAAATGAGTGTCAACCAGTCCACGAAGGCTTTGCAATCTACAATATAATCTCCGCTCCATGGTGGCTAGGGAGGGCAGCCTGGAAGGTGACAAAGAGGGATTTGAACCTCTTCGCTATTCAGGATATTATAATGTGTTACGAGATCGGGTCATCGTAGCATTTCGTAGGAGACTGGGCTTGCGTATCTTTAGTATTTTATTATTGGGCTTTTATTATTATTTATTGTTTTTCTTGTTCTTATGGGATTTAGTTATTTGTTGGTAATATCCTTAGAGGTTTAGGAGTCATAATCTAGATAGGTAAAGGTTGAGGCTTTGTGCCTATAAATATGTACTTGTTTCGTTCGTTTAATGATAAGAAGATTGGAACTCAATAGTTAGCTTTTGTTCTTATTGCTATTTCCTTAGTTAATCCCTTTGAGAGTTTTTTGCGTTTTATTCCTTTTACGAGAAAACCCTAAAAACGTCATCCGCCTACGTCACATCACCGTAACAGTTGGTATCCAGAGCCCGGTTCTTGGAATGGCGAGTGAGCAACAACAGCCATCGAAATCCAGGGGAGCGGACGGCAGTAGCGGCGACGGGTCGGAACCCAATCATTCCCAGCCACGACTGCACGCCATGGAGGACCGGATGGGGAGCTTGGAGGGTCGGCTCAATCCTTTGGTCGAGCGGACCGAAACCCTAGACCAGAAGCTCACCGACGTCACAAGGTTGATGGCTGAAGGTTTCACCGCAGCAGAGGCGAGGAATGAGCAACGATTCACGGCCTTGGAGGACTTAGTGCAAACCATCGCGACGCAGACGATCGCAGCAACAGATCGCCGACTGGAGGCTTTGGACGACGCGCTCGAGCGAGACAGTAGTGCAACCGTAACTCCGATCGCAGCCCGAGCTCGCGAGTGACCAGCAGCAACAGCAGCGGAGAAGCTGAAGGGCCCTCTGATCGAGGAGAACAGCGGCGGGGTTAAAACTAAACCGCCGACTAGCATGGGGTCGCCGATGGACGGCAGCAACGGAGAAAAGACGGGCAACGGCGGCGGCACCGGTGGAACAGCGGCGTTGGGACCTGGCTGGGGTAACCTCGCCGTGTCAGAGGTTCCGATCAATGGAAAGCAAGGAGGTTCGACGGGAGGAAGCTTGTCGGCGAAGATGTCAGGGAACGCGGGAACGATGACGGGAATTCCAGGCGCAACCCCATCGGGTTGGGTCGGACCGTTGGGCTATGACATCGGGCTGAATGGACCAACATGGGTTGGACCGGGGTTAGTTGGACCGAATAATTGAGCTTGGCCCAATTACCAAGGGCCGCCAGGATTCGGATCACCGGGCCTCAATGCAGGGTGGAACCCAGGAGCTGGGCCTTCGATTACTGGGCCGTTATAGTCCATGGTCGGACCCGGGGTGGGTGTGAGCCCCAGTTCGGGGCAACTAACGGGCGGGAACGGAGGATCGAGACCCATGGCCATCTGGGCCGGAGTTCCAAGCGCAGGGGAAGGGCCGCCAGGGTTAGGCCTTCAACACTTCAATGGAGGAATGGGCTCAACGAACAATTGGACCGGAGCAATTGGAACAGGGGCCCAAGGAGGACGCGGCAGCGGAGCCCAAGGAGGAGGAAACGGCGGGCCGGGAGAGAGCGGGCTGGTCGATGGCGAATTGGGCTGGGTTCCGCAACCTGGCTTGGGTAGTACGTTTGGGCTGCCAACCAGGCCGACTGGAATGGGCCTGGGCCTCAATTGGGGCCAGATGCTGAGCGGGGAAGTCAGGCCCGTGGCCGTCTGGGATGGACCCACGCGCGCGGAGCACGAGCCAGCAGGGAGTGGGCCTGCCGCGAGCGGGCTTGGAGCAAACTGGCCGGCGCCAGTCAGGCCGCCGACTGGGCCACCGTCTGGGCCGCCTGGGTATTGGGGAAATCCAACCGGAATGGGAAAAGGAGAGCGTGGTGGGCCGAGCGGAAAAATGGAGGAGAAGAATGGGTGGTTTAAACCCAAATTAGCCCAACTTGAGTTCCCAAAGTACAACGGGAGTGAGGATCCGTCAGGCTGGTTCGCAAGAGTGGAGCAGTTTTTTCGATTCCAGGAAACCCCAGAGGAGCACAAGGTGGCTCTCACGTCATACCACATGGAGAGAGATGCAAATCAGTGGTGGCAGTGGTTGGAACGCACGTACCTCATTGGGGCTACCAATTACGTGGGCGCGATTCAGAGAAGAGCTATGGGCTCGATTTGGCCCAGCAGAGGGAGCATCTAGCCATGAAGCTCTCGCCAAAATTAAGCAGACTGTGTCGTTAAGCGACTATTTATTGGCATTTGAAAAGCTGGGCAATCATTGTTTTGGGTGGACCGAAGAAGCCTTGGTGCGATCATTCATTGGAGGACTAAAATCAGAGATATCTTATGCGATTCGAATGTTCTGACCAGAAACGGTGCGAGAGGCTATTCGTCTTGCCAAGGTGAAGAATGAAGAACTAAGCAAGCATCGCCCAATGGCTAGAGGAGCACCACGACAAGGGATGGATGCTGGGTCTTCATCGGCGGTGACACCAACACCACCAGCGCCACCTCGACAACCAGCGGCACGCCGAATGTCGCCAGAAGAAGTCCCTCGACGTCGCGCGCAAGGATTATGCTTCCATTGCGATGAGCGCTTAACCATTGGTCATCATTGTGCCAATAACAACGTTCTTCTTATGATTGGCGCGTGCGGTGAACGCAAGGAGGGCACGTTCATCGAGGAGGAAGACCAACCTTGAGGGCAAGGTTGTGCTCGAGGGAGGGATGTTACGAGATCGGGCCATCGTAGCATTTCGTAGGAGACTGGGCTTGCGTATCTTTAGTATTTTATTATTGGGCTTTTATGATTATTTATTGTTTTCCTTGTTCTTATGGGATTTGATTATTTGTTGGTAATGTCCTTAGAGGTTTAGGAGTCATAATCTAGATAGGTAAAGGTTGAAGCTTTGTGCCTATAAATATGTACTTGTTTCGTTCGTTTAATGATAAGAAGATTGAAACTCAATAGTTAGCTTTTGTTCTTATTTGCTATTTCCAAGTTATTCCCTTTGAAAGTTCTTTGCGTTTTATTCCTTTTACGAGAAAACCCTAAAAACGCCATCCCCTACGTCACATCACCGTAACACAATGCCCATTTAGAATCAAAATTCAAGGACAATACCGAATTGAGACTAAATAACTACAGTTCAGCGTAATTTTTAAACTAACCCCCAGTACTTTATGAAGCTTAGCTCTAACCATTTAAGACGCCCAAAATACAACACACTTGAAGACAACAAACTAACCTAGCCATGTAAAAGAATCTAGAGTCAAAGATCAACGATAAGATTCAGAATATTTAACCCTGAATTCTGAAGTTTTCCCCACATAAATTTAACCTCCGAACTTAAATAGAAACGACAGCATTCTTCTGTTTGTAATTTCAGCTGCAGTAACAAAAAGGGGGATAACTTGAGAAGATGAAAAGGAAAGAGGAAAAGAGTTACTATGAAAAGAATTAATTAAGAGCATTCTGGAAGATGTGACCAATACCAAATCTTCTTCCATCATTGTCAACTTTATGCAAAGCAAAGCAATCCCACGGCCTAAATGTGTAGTGACTAGTGAATGCTGCATAGACCAAAAAGAAAAAGTGCAGAGTACTGCACAGTTGTTCAGGAGAAGAAGCACTTGAACATGATACAGGGAATGATACACTTCGAAACAAACACACACTTTTTAACATTTTGAGAGGGCGACTCCTGGTTCAAGACAAGCAAGCTCAAGTTGGATGCTGACTTCTACTGAAATCAACGAGCGAGTAAATACCTATGGGGGGCTTTCAGAAGGGAGCTTCAAGTGATTCATCCCACACATCTCCACTTCCATTCGACACATCTTCCGCATCGTCTTCCATTGAAAGCCTAATATACTCTCTATGTGCAAAACGATCCCACTCTGTCAATGTCGGATTCTCTCGTTCCTGAAACCAACATTTGGTTATTTATTTATATACCATCATCAATTCACCAAGTCAAGCAGCCAGCAACTCCAATGATAGAATTTCTGTATTAAAAAGTCCAGCTGTGTCCACTTGCCTGACGAATTAGGAAAGGGTCCCGACTTTCAAAGGCAATGAACTTGTTGAGATTGAAAAGAATGTTGAACACATGCCCTGCAAGTTTGGTCCTTTTCATGTCGCGCAGTGTTACAAGACCGTCGGTCTGCATTATCATGTACACACAGCTTTTGAAACAGCAGAACTCCAAAAGTGAGAAAGAGTCCACAAGAAAAGATCAGCAGGTTACCTCTGGTCCAATCATATCAATTATCTGGCACAAAATATCTTCGAACAGGACCGGTTCTTGTGCCATGCACTCCATACGATGTAATTGTTCTTCATAAAAGAACTGCATCTCGTTAGAAGTGAGGACACCATTCCCATCCAAATCAATGCAATTAAACCTGCGCCAAAATAAAGTAGCATATTCCATAAAAAATAAGTTAACATAAGAAAACAGTAAAATCGCTAATTAGGCAAAATACCCTGAACCTGAAGTACAGACTGTCGCACTTGATCTAGCATTAAGAAGTTCAGAGGCACTAGTTAAGAAGATAAATACATGACATATCTAGTTCTGAGGTTTCATGCACCTACTGTTTCGTGTTAGCATTCAGTTGTTTAATTGCAATGCCCCCCCCCCCCCCCCCCCCCCCCCAAGGGGGAAAAAACAGATCCAGAAAACATCAATCTTGGTCCACAAAAACCAACCGACTTTTGTATTGCACCCGAGTAAAAGTACATTACATATCAGTGACTAAATTAAAAATTTCTTTAACAACCTCTCAATGTCCAATTGCAACTCAGTATTTAATTCCATAAACAGCAAGTAAATTACCAGAACTCTATGCCAGGTTCAGAAGATTTATCCTCCTCGGAGAGTATGAAGTAGACAAAATCTTCATAACCCATCTTGCCTTCAATCTTGCTTCTAAATTTCCTGGCAACCTGAACAAGGGAGTCCAATATTAGTGAGACAGTAAGTTCCACAAGAACAGATAATATTTATCGTAAAACTGAGCCTGGTAACAAGACGTTAACAAGAGAAAAGAAAGCACACCTGGGAAAATACTCTATCAACAATTCTGTATGTAAGAGCATGGTTGCCATATCGAATAAGGTTCTCTTTGTCAATTAAGAAATCATGGTCTGTGTCGAGCTCCCAGAATTTGCAGTATATCACATAGAAGTGCTCATAAGAGAAGTACCTGGCAGATCCAAATGATAAAACATAAAATATGTAATGGAGGTAGCATAGCCATGCATTCAACTGAAACCATTGTAAAGACTGGCATTTGATGAACCTAATGATTGAGGAAGGACGGCAAAAGCTCTGAAAAATTTGGATAGCACTAGATGCTAATAGTGAGCATAAAGAAAAAGTATATGAGGGGAATAAGAGAATAAGACAATAATCTCGAAGTGTCATCTGATTTTAACTTCCCCTCACATCTCCCATTTCCCAAACAAACTACTGTAGCTATTATTAAGTTTTTATAACGTACTACTATGATTAGTAAGCAACCAAATCTTCAGTCACATGCATACCTCAAAACTTTGTTAATATCTTCTTCATCATCCACTTGAAGCATAGCAGCAACCAAGTTTGAACGCTTTAACTCCTTGAGGGTGAGACGACTCGTTCCTGATCTATTTACATAGTGAAATATTCTGTATATGACCGTTTCCGCTGTTCAATTAAAATGTAAGTTAGAAATTTTGGGTCATAGCCAACATAGTATCACTCTTAGACAAGTGTAAAGTAAGACACCATCATAAAATAATAGGCTACAATAAAGACTACCATCTTAAGCCCATACTACTTCCAGAAGTATCACATGGCAAGAAAGAATATATATTTGCTTAAGGTACCACCCCTAAATATTAAAGGGAAGTCAAACAGAAGAGTAAAACAATTAACCTGAACAAGAAAACAGAGAGATCACATTGACAGAGTTCCCATAACACCAGTAAAAAATAAATTAGATTATGCAGAAGTGAGATATAATTCTGCGTGATAAGACGCAATTCAACATAAGGCGTCACTACAAGGAAATATATGCACTGAAATGGAGGGAAGGGAAAGAAAAATACAAAGCAAGTTAATCTTACCATATCTCTCTTGAAATTCTGGAGTACTCTGCAGAAATTCCAACCCTGGATGAGTAGACAAAATTTCTCGTAAAATAGGTCTGAAATCCTCCTGTAAATAAGGCAGACATGAAACCAGCGTAAGTGTTAATCGAGTACCCAACATTCAGTTTTTGCTGAAAAATTCAATCAAAATATTCTAGCAAATTATTAGGGATCACAAAATGGAAAAACAAAAGGTAAGGCTTCATGGTCAACCTGGGTGAGGTATTCATGATCTGGTTGCTTGAGAATGATGTAGACTTGAGTAGCTAAATCCATCGTCAAGAAGTTCCCTTTCACCCAATAGTCAATGAATTGATCCCTGCAATTTGATAACAAAAGAATCAAAGGGTAAAAGAAAGCCATAAAAAGCTGATAGAAACCCACGGCATGTTTGATCAATTCACCTGCAATACGATAGCTAAGCCTAAATTGGATCCAGAACTCATCCTTCATACTCGAAAGATGATAACCATAATATTAGTCTATTACACAAATAGAACAGTACGATTGAGATTTCATACTTGCATTCTTATTATAGCCACAGAAAAGCTCATTCGCAAAAAAACAAAGAACCACCACTGTATAGATTTTTTGAACAAGCAATTTCTATCATATCTTATATAAGGGACATCAACCTATGATGAAAAATAACTGTATTATTTGGGTTCTGTTACCTGTGATTCCTAATTTCCTATTACAGAATACAATGTAAAAAGGGAGCTACTGAATCTGGGGTTTGTAGAACTTCATTTCCTCTCCCCCCGAGTGACAGTAAATTTACAAAGAGGCCTATTCAAAAGTACAATGAAAACGTAGAGCCCCAGGAACTCATATTGCCCCATTGGCCCAAGAATAAAATACGGAAAGGGTGAATAGTTTCGATATGAAGCAGCTAATCCAGAACTGAATTTAAGTCAAGGAAAAAATTATGACAACAAATGGTTTTCCCATTTTTCCCAGTGAGGGTTTGTAAAAAAGAATACCTTGTGATAATGCCAACACCGTTGACATCAATTCTTCTAAACAATATGGTGGAGAAAAAAGAGGGAAGCTTGCAGATATCCTTCGCAACCGACTTAAATTCTAGCATAGAAAATGACAGCAATAATCAAAAGAAAATAAACAGTACAAGGCAAGGTCTTAACTACCCGAGAATATTAAACTAAAACTATGACAATTTTAGCCGAAGTGTAAGTACCCTAACCATTTTGTTGCAATCCATCCACATGACCGTAAAAATGTTGATCAATATCAAACAAGCAGCGCTCTCTCGTCTCAGCTGGAGGCAGCCGTCCATTTTTAAAGTAAAACTGCACACAATTTAAAGTTGGAATCTTTCATGCATCTGGTTGTATCACTGGCCATGTCAGGACAGTTCCATTGCAGAGAAGCTCATACCTGAGGGATAACTTCTCGCACTGGCTCACTGATAACTTTTAGTGGAGAACCTAAAGAGGAAGGACCAACTCTCTGTTTCACAGTTCGCGGCGATCCCGAAACACTTCGAGGGGAAAGTGGAGGAGTGCAGCCAGAAGGAAACATGGACGGTATTGAACTGCCAGAACCAGCATTTGTAGTGCTGGAATTCCCAACAGCATTCAACGGTTCCCCAGTCTTAGCTGCAGCAAGCAAGGATTTTACCTACATATATACATACGCCATACAAATTACTGCATGGAACAGAACAAACCAACGGTACTAGGTACAAAACGGGTACAGAGGAATTGCGGCGATGTTGGCATTAATAGAATTCAAGGAAAAATTATCAACTTTGCGGAGATTGGAACAGAGAAGCATACTAGGAATTTCATCGGTAAAGACAGTAGAAGAGCAAAAAATCAACAGTAGCTAAAGGAACACTTTCCAGATTTTCAGGTATCCAGATCCTGGACCGCAATACCGACTTGTTGTCCCCCCTACATTTCTAAATCTAAGTGATTATCAGGAATTCAAAACTCCTTAGCTAAAATTGACGAAAACAAGATACAGAACAATTTAGAAAGAGGGCCACCAAATCCTACAATACAATAGATCCCCAAATTCAGCATCAGAAGAGACGTGAAGACGAAACGCAACTAGGGTTTCGCTTACCAATCGAGAAGTATCAGGAAGGGAAAACCATTGGGAGAAGAGTTGCTCGGCGAGGAAAGGATTCGCCTTCAAGGCCAATGGAGACAATTCCGGGAGCTGGAGGGCCTCCGGCTGGAAAGCCGCCACGTCACTCATTGACACCGCCCCTTCCATATCCGGAATCACGCTTCCTGCAGTTGTCAATGTAACGATAAAGCTACAAACGGAAACCCCTAGATCACGGGGAAGAAGGTCTGGTGTTCTTGTCTGTTCTTAGGGGTAAGGAAGAAGCTGTTCGAATGCGCGATAGTTGTAACAATCATTGGAGAAGAAAGAAGAAGACGAAGACGAAGAAGAAACAGGGTGATTGAAAGGAAGCTAACGGGTGGATTATTGTTGGGTGCTAATCAAATGTCATAGAAGAAAATAGTTTTCTTGTGTAATCTAGGATGCTGTATAATGTATGTGATTTTAGTTCATGGTGTGTGTATATGGTGATTTTGTCAAAACTCCAAGTTATGGTAATCTAGAGTTGTGTACAAATTTTATAAGATATTGTGGATCGATATAGATCGATATAGTGGTTTATATTGTACTAGTTTTGTTTTCGGTCATTGATCGTGTTACTGTAATAATTACTAATCATTCGAAATTATAATAAAACTATTTTGAATGAGTTGATAATTTGAATTGATGTAACTTATTTATAATCATAAAATTTCTGTTTTTACGTTATATTATAAGTTCCACACTAAAGGGTCGTTTGGAGAATATAAGTTTAAATTTATAGATTGTCAACAATTTAAAGATTCTAATTCTTCGAATTGTTTAAAATAGACTTTTAAATGTTTATTGTTTGGTAACTGTGATTGTTAACATTCAATGAAAATAAAAAATTTAATTGTATATTAAATAACATGGTTATCATTAGTAAAAAATTAGATTAATTGGAGAAATATTAAAAACTTTGTTGATAAATTATATTATATAAAGCTAAACCCCATGTTATTGTTGTTTAACATTTTGCATTGATGTTCCTTAGTATTTTGCTTATCCTCATTTTGCTACCAAGTGTCGGTTGGTTTTGACTTTTTCTCTTTTAATGTTAATGTTTATGCATGATAGGGCAAAAGCGTATACCTTCAATTCCTATCTTGTAGTAAATCGGAAAGTCCGGGTATCGTCTCTCAGGGACTGGTACAACCTTAAGTTCTATCAATTTTGTAGAGCAAACTATAGGTGAAAATGGTCTAATGAAATTATTAACTACTAGCAAAATAAATAAACTAATTAAGCAAAGTAAAATGGTCGGGAGAAATTCAATGGAGAAAGCTCTGGGAGAAACACCGGGACTCACTACCTATCATATCAAAATTAATTCACATATTCCAATCAGTTTAATCCATATCTCTACAGCCAGGATATCTCTGTTGTGCTAGCTATCCCTGTCGGGAATTACTACGTACTAAACAATTAAATCAAATCCTACTGTCGTAGCTCAATGAATTAATTATTTAGCCTGAAGAACGATATCTCAATCAAGACCGCATAACACCTTATTTAATCCACTGTCGCTTCGATAAGTTGCTATGTCACATGAAATAGGTTCAGTTATTAGGGTTTCACTGTCGCTAATAACCTAATTAACAACGAATCAATATATTGGTGGCCAGTCAACACAAAGCATTAAGTAATTTCATGCAATAGAGATTGGAAGAAAAGAAATACGAATCAATCCATCAAATCTAGAAATAGCTACATCCTATGGTGTTTCCCCCAGAAATCGGGGTTTAGTTCATGACGAAATTCAGATAAAACAATATGATTTTGATCATCATGTTCTAAATCAACAATAAACAACTAGTTCGGTCTAGAAAATCCAACCAAATTAATCGCTCTTGTTGAATTCAGCTTACACCGCCTTGGGAAAAGTGACTCGCCACGTCGCCAAATCGCCGCTGCTCCTCGTCCCCAGTCGTCGCTGCGCCCTGCTGCTTTTCTTTGCCAAAAGAATTCCTCCGCCCCGCATAAATTCCCCCAAATCAAAAATGCCGCCCAGAGATTCCTCCCTCCCAAAATCAGTTCCGTCCAAAAATAAAGCTCCCCCAATAATTGTCCAATTCCACTCCAATTAAAGGTCGCCCAGCAACCCCAAAGCTTCCTACTGGCCCAATTCTGTGTCCCTGGCCCAATTAATTCAGTGGGCCAATCCAAGCCCAAAACACTGATGCCGTTCAACTCCCTGCAGCCTGCTCCAATTATTCGGTCCCAGGGAAGCTCGACCCAATATCTTTTATCGTGCTTTATTCACCTGTAATACATCAAACTCATGACACTAGGCAGTAATGGTTTTTCAACCATTCTCGGGTTAGGGAGCCCTAAAATAGCACCAATTGACTTAAACATACCATGGGATAATCACATAAAGTCCAAGAATCCGATATATTAAAGCCAATTATCACAACCCCACACTCAATTGTTGCTTGTCCCTAAGCAACGACTCAAAAGACACAAACACACAACCATCCAAAACAATGACACTCCACAGACTCACTAATCAAACACTCAAACAAAACAAACTTTTCCTTGTACTCTTGTTGTAATCAGTAGTTTCTTTCTCAACGGACAAGTTGTGCTCTAATGGTCATACCTTTCACCCCACACTCAAGGTCTTTGCAACCCTTTACCATTGACTGACTCAAATCCATCCAAAAACTCAAATACCAACACTCAAATTCGATCGTCGGTAGTGGGTGGTTAACAACTTATGGTGCAATAATTATTAGGAGAATCTAACCACATCAATGAGGTGCATATCTCGTGAGGACAGTCTGGCTTACTCACACCAATCATAAGCAATTAATTAAGCATGAGTCTCAAAAACTAATGGGGGAAGCCTTTCGCAAACAAGATTTTAACTTTAAGCACATCACTACCCTTTATGAGAAGGAGAGGCTTTCTCTCTTTCTGCTTTTGCTTGCCGAGAGGTCGTATTTAGTACAAGTGGGATTTGTTTCTTACTACCGGTGACCGAGCAGGAGCAATTTCTGCTTCTTAGCACTCGCATAAGGGCTTCTTTTAACTCCTTTTCCTCGGTCCGTGTGGAGGGTCATTGCACATCCTCAAATGGCACTTCACTCAACTGGGGATCATACTTGATAAGCAACATCGTACGGTCGCGAACCGATTCTCAATTGAGTCTTTCCTCATCCCCATGTGCAATGAGTGATTGCCTCACACGATTTTGGCATTTTTACCCACACTTTAATTGTTATGACAACTTTCTTATATTTTACTTGTCAGGTAGTGTTTTCTCATTTATAAAGATACAGTTCACCCCATCATAAAACATTCAAAACAGAGAGACTCGTTGCAAAATCAAAAGCTCACAATTGATGCAAGTAAGCACGGTATCCAAACATTTCGAATGGTCAATGTTCTCCACCTAACTACTTCACCAAAAGTCATTACACTATCCTCACAAAAGAGAATGTTGCTAAAAGAGTTTGCTCATTCAAAGCATATCAAGTCAGTCAAAACATAAAGCTCATTGTGAAGAACTATGCAATTCAACACTAGTTGGGGTGATTTTGATGATTTCATTCAAGCACAAACTCATTTTCAAGGCATCACGGTCATTTACATCATGTTACCACAAGAGTACAAGGTTTTGTTTTTAATTTTTCTCATTTTTAGGTGTTTTTTAACCATTAGCTTTGCACAGGCAGCTTGCTTTTTGCACAGGCAAACTGCATTCAGTTTGACTGTGCATAGCCAAATGACAAATTTTTTTTTTGGTTTTTTTTTACCACATGCAACAGGGACAAACGACACTAAGACTGACCACCCCACACTCAGGATGGAACATTGTCCCTAATGTTCAACTCCTAATCTAAACATGCACGGGTTTGACACAACGAAAAAATAAAAATAAAAAAAAGAAAACTTACCTTGGGTTGCCTCCCAAGAAGCGCTTGTTTAACGTCCTCAGCCTGGCGTTCATGGAGCTTTCAACCAATGGGTATGGAAAGGTATCCAGAATACCCTCCCGAGCAATGATAGAACGCATAACCTTCATCCAACATATGAGTCACCTCTGCAGGGCCAGGTGTGCGAAAATTTGGTATGACCTTCTTATCTTGCATGTTGGACCCTTTAGTGAGGCGTAGGTGGTACTGTAGTGCCTCAAGCAAGTACTCTTCCTGTTTCAGTGTCAGTAAAGAAGGAATAATAACAGGAAGATTGAAATCCTTACCCAAATATCTATACTTGAGGTGACTAGGCAATGGTTTTAGTTCCAATTCCGGAGGCTGGATCCGAGATGGAACTATTGGCTTTAAAAACCCAGCCTTTTCACCACCTTCCACCTGCATAGGCAATGCTTCGAGCATTTGTGCCCTCTTTGACACGGTTAGCTCATCAAGTTCATTATTAGAATCATCAAACTCAGAATCAGCATCATAGTCATTATTCACAATAGCATTAGTGCATGATTCTATGACATCCACCGCAAACACATCACTAGAGTCATTAGGGTACTTACTTGCATGGTATACGTAGAACTTTACCTCTTCCCCACAGACTCTGAATGTCAGCTCGCCCTTTTGGACATCTATGAGAGCACCCCCCGTAGCTAGGAAGGGTCTCCCAAGAATGAGAGGTACTTCCCTGTCCTCCTCCATCTCCAGAATGACGAAGTCGGCGGGGAAGATGAATTTTCCCACCTTGACTAGCACGTTCTCCACCACGCCTTTGGGAACCTTTACTGATCGATCAGCCAGTTGTAGAGTGATTCGAGTCGGCTTGATCACATCTTGGAGTCTCAGCTTCTTATAAACAGAATATGGCATGAGGTTTATGCTGGCTCCAAGATCACAAAGTGATTTATTGAATTCTGTACCTCCAATGACACATGGAATGGTGAAGCTTCCTGGATCATCCCTCTTTTCTGGCAATTTATTCTGAATCACGGCACTACATTCAGAAGTAAGGGTTACCTTCTCTAGATCAGCCCATTTACGCTTCTTTGTCTGCAACTCCCTTAAGAATTTAGCATATGTAGGCATCTGTTCAAGTGCCTCCGCCAACGGTATGTTGATATGAAGTTGCTTGAAGATATTCACAAATTTCTTGAAGTTTGGGTCTTCCATGGGCTTCATTAACCTTTGAGGGAATGGTGCGGGAGGTTCATAAGGCTTTACCTCTTCGCTCTTCAATTTTTCCACTTTTTGAGGTACACGGGCAGATTGCATGCAGTTTGCCTGTGCAAGTCAGATTTTTCAGCTTTTGCACTTTCTTCATCCTCTACCTCTACAACTCCTTCTTTTTCAGATTTTGTTGACTTCCTTGAACTCTCTGGATCCTCCAAGGTCTTTTCACTCCTCAATGTGACATCTACACCCATGGCATCCTTCGGATTCCTCTCGGTATTTGCTGGTAAAGTCCCGGGAATCCTACCTTGAATATCTGCCAAAGTTTGAGCCATCTGGCCTATTTGCCTCTCCATAGCTAGCATAGATGATTGCATATTCTTGTTGATGGCTAGCTGTTGAATGACAATTTGATCAAGACCCTTGAAATTATTGTCTGTTTTCTGCATATGAGCCAAAATTAACTCCTTCAGTTGGGGCTTCTTCTCTGGTTGAGGCTGCTGCTGTTGAAAACCGGGAGGTGGGATGTTTCGAACACCAGCTGGATTATTGTTTGACCATGATATATTGGGGTGATGTCTCCATTGAGGGTTGTATGTATTTGAATACATACCACCCTGGCCTTGACTTCGCGGATTATTGATATATTGAACATCTTCCAACTGAGCAGCTCCCAGTGGAATATCCCTATGATGAGGACCCTCGCAAAGTTCACATAAAGCAACCTCCTCTTGTCTACCCAAAGCAATCTTAGCTAGCCTTCGTTCGAGTGCATCGAACTTAGAATCCAGCTTGGCATCTATCTTGGCTTCTAGACTCGCAACTCTGTTTATCTCATGCAAGCCTCCTCTTCTTCGAATACTGGTCTCACTACCCCATTCAGTGGCTTCTGAACAGATCTTCTCTACCAGATCATATGCTACTGGTGCCTCCATGCTTGTGAAACCATTTCGAGAAGCATTATTCAAGGCATCCCGGAACTCCCTCCTGATTCCGTTGAAGTAAATAATGATCACGTTCCAATCTTCAAGACCATGGCTTGGGCATCTTATCAAAAGCCCCTTGTAGCGCTCCCATGCCTCAGTCAGAATCTCATCATCAGCCTGCTTAAAAGTAACAATCTCTTCTTGCCTCTTCATTGCCAAGGCAGGTGGGAAGTATTTATCCAGAAAGACCTTTTCAAGCTGAGCCCATGTCGTGATGGAACGTGGTGTTAAGTTCTGAAACCAGTGTGATGCATTCCCTATCAGAGAGAATGAGAACATCCGAAGACGGATGGCATCATCAGACACAGTCGGGCTCTTCATCGTATCACAAATGCTTGCGAACCGGCGAAGATGTTCATGAGGATCCTCGGTGCTAGCCCCTGAGAAGGTGTACCCATTAGTGATCATATTGATGAAGGCTGGGGTAATCTCCATGTTTACATACCCAGCCGGAATGACAACACATGAAGCTCGGGCTCCAGTCCTCCGATTCAGACGAGCCCTGATCGAACGATCCTGTTCTGCCATGATGTTTGGCTCGATGATGCGCGGTGGCGGTGTCGGTGGTGTCGGGATGACAGGTTGTGAAACCTGCCTTCTCGGTTAACCATTCTAGGTTAGGGAAGGCCTAGAAGTTGTGGATGTGGTAGGCTGCTTCCCTAACTTGACCTGCTTCCTGTTCTGTCGGCAGGTCCTCTCGATCTCCGGATCTAGTGGCAGTAAATCACCGGTCGTCCTCCTAGGCATGCACGAAGAGGATAAACCTGAAAATTCTTCTGCACACTAACACCCAGATCAAAATAGTTCACTCACAAAAATCAATAAAAATAAGATATGGCAGTCCCCGGCAACGGCGCCAAAAACTTGATAGGGCAAAAGCGTATAGCTTCAATTCCTATCTTGTAGTAAACCGGAAAGTCCGGGTATCGTCTCTCAGGGACTGGTACAACCTTAAGTTCTATCAATTTTGTAGAGCAAACTATAGGTGAAAATGGTCTAATGAGATTATTAACTACTAGCAAAATAAATAAACTAATTAAGCAAAGTAAAATGGTCGGGAGAAATTCAATGGAGAAAGCTCTGGGAGAGAAACACCGGGACTCACTACCTATTGTCGCAACCGTCCCCTCGGGGGGTCCGTCGTCGTCGCGTTGGCATTTTGGGAGTCGCCATCGATCTTACGTGGAGTGGATCGAACACTCTTTGGTCGGCTCTAATCTTAGGGTCAGAACCGAGATATGGTCTGCGGAAATAAAGTTTTGGGTTCGGGAGTACGGTTAAGTGTGGGGAAGTTAAGCAACACCCCCACAATGCCCTAAATCGGTACTACTTAAGTCGATAAGTTTTATACGAGTTGGGTGTATTTTAATAATTATTTCGTAATTTTAGGGTCCCACTGGACCATTAAATTTTATCGTATTAGTTGTAATTAAATTATACGCTCACTGACGTAAATTTAAAGATAAAGTTAATTGGTTAGTTGGACTCGAACCTTATTGGTTGCCTACGTACCCGTTAGACGGGATCAAAGTCCACGTAATTCGTTTGGACTTTAATAATTTAATTAAAATCATTACCACGTTCCACTGAACGTAATTTTTCGTACTAAAGTTTTTGTTGATAAAATTTGCATAGATTATTATGAGGTCATGACGCAGAAATAAAATGATTTTAGTTAGCGAGAAAAGATATGGCGTATTAGAAAAGAAGCAAGAGAAACTTAATCCACATTAGCATTTCGTATTAAGAATATTTAAAAGAATAAAATTGACTGAGATGATTATATAAATAAATGAGGGACTAGCAGCCCAACTGGCTAAGGCGTCAGTTGTATTTCGCTTTCGTGTATGAGTACGCGGGTTCGAAACTTGGTCTCATTAATTTTTGGGATTTCGTTATTACTTCAGAGAAAGGGGAAGGGTAGTGTCGTAAATACACAAAAATACGGTGGCAAGGGTACGTTATTTTTAGGAAAAACCTAGGGGTAAAATCGTCGTTTTAAACATAATGGTATATAAACATCTAAATGAAACCCTAATCCATTCTAAACAGATGCGGCCGCCTCCACTCTCCCTCTCTCTCTCGCGTCCCTCTCATCTCTCACTCTCGCCTCTGGAAATGGTATATAATTTTTGGGATTTCGTTATTACTTCAGAGAAAGGGGAAGGGTAGTGTCGTAAATACACAAAAATACGGTGGCAAGGGTACGTTATTTTTAGGAAAAACCTAGGGGTAAAATCGTCGTTTTAAACATAATGGTATATAAACATCTAAATGAAACCCTAATCCATTCTAAACAGATGCGGCCGCCTCCACTCTCCCTCTCTCTCTCGCGTCCCTCTCATCTCTCACTCTCGCCTCTGGAAATCACAAAACCCTAGCCGATCTAACCAACCGCCCCTCTCTCACCCTCGTCTCTCTCTCTTCTCGGTCGATTTTCATCTTCCAGAAGAAGACCAAGAAACCCTAGATCAAACAAGCCGCCCTCTCTCTCGTCTAGGGCTGTCGGTTCGGTTCGGGTCGGGTAACCGAACCCGAAACCCGTGAAAACCGAAAAACCGAAACCGCCCCCTCACAAACCGAAACCGAACCCGAAATGCCCTTTTGTGGGTTTCGGGTACTGGAACCCGAAATTGATGTTGGCGGGTTTGGTTCGGTTCGGGTGAAACCGAAACCGAACCGGTTTGAGGTTTTTTTTTTTTAGTTTTGTGATTTGAATTTTACTTTGTACAAAACAATTTTATTCTTATTATTTGTACATTCTTATTTTACCATTATGTTTAATTTTGGGACATGGACAGTATAAAACTAATATTTACATATTAGTTTATTATTAAAATATTAGTTTATTATTGAAATATTTAATTTTATGTATTCTATAACTATAGACATACTATTAACTATTAAAGAGTATTAGTATTTTAGAGAGAAAGTAAAATACTTAAACATATTTTATACGTAACTTAATCATATCTTATTTAATTGTGGATTTTCGTATAATTAAATGTTTTAGTAATACCATAGGTCCAAAATTGAAGGTATATCAACTATCATATGCAAAAAAATGTTTGGTGTTTGGCGCAAAATTATAAATAATTTTGTTCAACATAAAATACGACAATCATAGATGAGATTATCTTAAACTCGTAATTAAACACATTAGTTTTACAATTCTCAAATGATAACATCCAAGTAAAATAAAAATTCATCCACCATACAAGATAAATACTACTACCATTATCACTCCTCATCAGGCTCTACATCTACATAAGTCTCATCATTCTCATCGGAATTGTTGTCGACATAGTCTTCTTCCACTTGTGACATAGTAGGACTCGAGACCAAAACATGGGTAGCAGGAGAGCTTCTACTGGGTCCTGCATGAGAGCTTCCACTAGGTCCTGCAGCTGCAGGTGCACTTGCACTCCGAGCTTGAAAAGCTACATATACTAGATAACATAAACAATAACAAATTGTTAGAATATGACTTGATCAAGATAACAAATATAAGAATAAAGAGAAAGATTAAAACCTTACCATTTTGAAATACCACTTCATCACCCTCATCTTCTCCATCAGCCACCAACTCGGAGTCTGAAGATCTTATCCAATCTTCACAACAAATCAACGCCTCCACAACTTCAGGGGATAAGGAGGTCCTAAACGAATCTAAAACTCGACCTCCTGTGCTGAATGCCGACTCAGAAGCAACAGTGGAAATAGGAACAGCAAGAATATCCCTAGCCATCTCAGAAATAGTAGGATATTTCATCCCACTTCGAGACCACCATCCCAAGATGTCAAACTTGTATTCATCCTCTTCTGAACCCATCAATGCTCGTGTAACCACTTCATCATCCTCCTCCTCCTCAAGGTACCTATCAAACTCAGATTTGGAACTTTTTCTAGTTCCTTTCAGAATGGCATCTCTTTTCATTTTCCTAAAATCACCCCAAATCTTCCCTTTCTTCTTCCCATCCCCACTTCCACTAGGTTCTTGCACATCTTCCTGAATCACAATGGGAGAACTGCCAGGAAGTCCGAGCCTATGCTTGTAATGGTCAAACAAAAGACGCATTTCATCCTTTACCTCTTCGACCAAAGCTTTACCCCTGCTCTCACCATACACCTTTTTCAAAGCTTGTTCAAGATATTCAACTTTCCGTCTAGGATCTAATATGACTGCCATATAACACAACCGATTCATCTTTGAATTCTCCAACTCATCTTCAAACCAATACTTGGCAAGTTTGGACTTGATTCTATCAGCCATGCAAGACACCTCAAAATCTATACCATCAGCCCACTCAGATATCATAGTATACATTTCACATACCTCATCAAACAAGAGGTGTAAAGTCGCATATGAAGTCCCAGAAACTCGAACAGTCAAATCATAGAATAGCTTCAGGTAATCAATCAACCGTCCCACACTAGACCAATCATCAGAAGTCGTGATACCAAGACTTTCATTTCCATATCTTTTTTCATTGAGATGTTTCTTGAATTTCTTATCATTTCTAGCTAATGTCTGAAATGCTTTCTCAAATGGCTTTGCAGATTCCAACATCAGATACGTTGAGTTCCATCTTGTAGCTACATCCAACGAAACAAATTTCTTCGAAGCTATCTTTTCAAACTCAATGCAATCTTTAAATTTTCTGCTCCTAGCTGGTGTAGATTTAACCCACTTCACAGATTCTCTCACTCGCTCCACAGATTTACCAGTTTCTTTAAGCCCATCCTTCACAGCCAAATTAATAATGTGAGCCACACACCTCATCTGCAGATATTTTCCATCCAAAATATCTGATCCCCACTCTTTCAACTGTTCCTTCATATGGATAGCAACCACATCATTGACACTAGCATTGTCCATTGTTATACAAAACACCTTCCTAATGCCCCACTCCACCAAACAACTAGCCAACTGTTTTCCAATTTCACTTCCAGAATGTTTTGTAACTTGGACAAAGTTAATAATTCTTTTATGCAATTTCCAATCTCTACCAATGAAATGAGCAGTAATGCACATATAATTGAGATTGGACAAAGAAGTCCAAGTATCAGTGGTGAGCGATACCATCCCTAAACACTTAGTCTTGAAATAGTCCTTCAGCAACTCTCTATTTTCAAAGAACACCTTGATACAATCCTCTCTAACGGTCTGACGGCTAGGTAACACAAACATTGGACAAACACGAGCCATAAACCGTTTGAACCCTTCATGTTCAACATACCTAAATGGTAATTCATCTATGATAATCATCTCCGCTAAAGCTCTCCTAGCATCAATCTGGTCGAATTTCCAAGTCCCAAGAGTGTGTACCTGGCCTCCAGAAGATGATAGATGGTCGACTATCAGCTCACCCTTTTCTATCTTTTCCAAACAACTATCTTTATGATTCCGCAGAGTAGAAGTCCCATATCTCGTGGGAGCCATAAGAACACCATTGCAATAAATGCATCTTGCTTTGTCCACTCCATCCTTCTGAAAACGCTTGAAGTGTGGCCAAACGTCAGACTTTTCTTTCCTTTTTCTTGAAATTGTCTCCCCGTCTATTGTTTGAGCAGGAGGTACATTGGTGGTACCGGTAGATGGTGCAGGAGCAGGATCGGAAGACGGTGCAGGAGCAGGAATGCTGGTACTCTTAGAGCGTCCTCCACGTCTAGGACGAGAAGCCGATGGTGCCTCACTTTCCCTGTCAAAATGAAAAGTTGAGTTGAGTATAATTCATTAACTATACTGAGAATACAACATTTAGAATCGGCAACCAAAACTACTACATGCCATGTTATCCTTAATTGGGTTTTCTCCCACTTTCACTATGTTTCCATTTTCCTCCCAATAAAAAACATTTTGTCCCCTCATCACTATAGTTACACAGAGGCAAAGTTGCTAAACCAAAGCAAGTGTTTGGGCGGTGTAACTTGTAAGTGATCAGTGTTAGGTGACTGTATAAGACCACTGATCACCACCATGTGACAGTGGGGTCATATCCATAACCATTTAATCAAGTATAATTTGCATCCATCATTAGCATATAATTAGTTTGAAATTAGGATTTCACCATAATTCAAAGGTTTGAAAATGGGCAGAACAGACAAATAGGACACAGTTTGGAAAGAGAAATTTTGCATGTATACAAACTGGAAACACAGCAAACTAGACACTAAGTAATTTCTTTCCTGATTGATTGAAACTATGGTACCTAATGCTTTTGATGCACTAAATAACACACAATTCCATCAATCACAGCATCCACCACACTCAGGTAACTATGTATACAACATTCTATCCCATTAATTATGACCACATTAACCCAACACTTAAGCATTACCAACTTGTCGATCATCCTCTCAAACCGAAATGCAGATCCCCCAAACTCAATCAAACTTCTTCAGAAATCAACTAAGACACAGCCAGGCCAAATTCAGCGCACCTCAAACCAAAATCACCATAACCTAGTTCCTCACCAAAGAAGGATCAAAGTCGATGGGGGGAGATCAAATACCTATTAACAGCAGAAGCACGCACAAACAGAAGAAATTGAACAGTTCAGCAGGATTAAGCAAAACAAGCAAAATAGCAAAATGGGTTTCATTTACAAGAGAGAAAAAGCTTCATTTCAACCCACAACCAAAACAACTCAACAGCAAGCAATCAGATCCCGCGACAAAGAAATTCAACACAGCCATTAAAGGAGTCATCTAGCTCTAGCTCCATCCCTGTCCGATTTCTAATGAAGGTAGTAGCATCAAAGGGTAAATTACTAAATTGCAATTCCAACCATCTCCGAGTAATACCAAGTTGAATGAAAAAGGAGCTTACTGGGATTCCATCTCTGTTTTGTACAGTGATTTAGGATGTGACCAAAGGCAGAAGCTTCGAACCCAGAGGAGTTGCTCGTGAAATCGCCAATCTCCAGAAGCTTCGAACCCAGAGGAGGAACAGAGTAACAGGGGAAGAGCGAGGCGAAGAGCGAAGTTGATGGTGGAACGATGATGGCGGCGCGGCGAGGACGATGATGGCGGCGACGGCACGAGGTGAAGGGCTGAAGCGCCGAGGAGGCTGTGTCCTCTGTTTCGTCTCGCTCTGTTTCGTTTGCCAAAAGCGAAGAGACGGCGACGGAAGGGCTGAAGGCTAGGGTAGGGTTGCTCTTGCTTCAAAAGTCAAAACGACAGCGTGTGCGTGACTGATGCTATCGGGTTTTGCGGGTTTGCGGGTTTTGGTAAACCGAAACCGCTGCAGTGTGTATCGGGTTGAACCCGGAAAAAACCGAAACCGGCACTGTTTATATCGGTTCGGGTTCGGGTTAAACCGAAAACCCGAAACCGAATTGACAGGCCTACTCTCGTCTCTCCTCTTCTAAAAAAACGAAAACCTAGCCCCCAGCGCCGCCCTTTCCTTCTTCCTCTACTTTTCCACCGTTCTTCCTCTCTCTCGAAGGACGAGAGGTTTGAAAAACGACGGTGCTATCGCAGTCCTTCCCGGATTTGGCTAAACGACGACTCGGTTCAAGTTAATCTGACCCGGGGAACTCCGATTCGGGTAAAAACGGCGACATGCACAACATTTGATTTCTGTTTTAGGTAATTTTTCTTAGATTCGACTAATTTTTCTTTCGTTTTCTCTTTGGCTCTGAGGCTTGGTTTCGGACGAGGGAAAAGAAGCAGTGAGGAGATCGCCAGACCGAGGTACGATTTAACGGTAGGCTCGGATCTGGTTTCGTTTTTGGTTTATCGGTTGTATTTTTTGATTTCTGGGTTCTAATATGTTTTTTTTTTGGTTGGGTGGAGGAGAAGAAGGGAATCTTTGGCGGCTAAGATCCCTATCGGCAAAATTCCGCCGACGATGAGTTGACAACGGCGGCAGCAGGTAAGGATTGCTTCGATTAAATTTCTTTATTTTCTTGACTGGTATTGGCTTTAATCGAGTATGGTCTCTGCGCAGGTTTTGAATTTGACAAGTTTGGGTAAGGTTTCTAAACTCAGTATAGTGTGATTTGGCAACTTGAACAAAAAAAGGTTATCATTGGGGTTTTGTATCTGATTGCATATCTGGGTTTTCAATAAAAATGGTTATGTATGAGTTCGATAATTTTGGTGTTTGGTGATCTCGAAATTTTTATGCTTAGTTGCTTGGTGGATGGTTTTGGGATGCTAGATTTTTCTACAAATGAGAGAAGAAGAAAAAGGGAATTTTCAATAACTGGGAAGTAATTAACATGCTCTAAAATTGATAATTTTGGCAACTAAAAGTCACTGCCTCTGCTTGTGACTTTGCCAAAATGAAGTTTGAAATATGAAGTTTAATTGTGTTTGGGTGATTTCTGCTGGATCTGGATCTAGATCTAGATCGGGGGTGATCGTAATCCTAGGGAAGAGTTGTTTTTCTTCTTTCTATAGACCTTTGTCTATTTGAACTCTACTCGAATATTTTCATTCATTTACACATGATAATAAAGTATTCATCAACTATTTGCTAGATAGGAAATTTACAACGTGACATGCCACAGTTGAGTTGCTAAGCGCAAATCTTGTATTAAGTAAATAAATAGAGTGCTTAAATGTAAAATAGTTTGCAAAGTACGACCATCGAGTATATAAATGGGCAAGTAGAGTATATAAATGGGCAAGTAGATAGACGATTACGACCGTACAATGATTGAGCATGAATTTGACAGAAACAAAAATGAGATCAGATCTTATTAAAAGGATGAAAGAGTTAGAGCACTAACCTGGTTGGAGTTTCTTAGCTTAAGAAAGGCCTTCTGCTGCTTAATTCCACAAATTTCTGCGTCAATCTTGTGTAAAAGACGGATGTAAAGAAAAAATGAGCTCAAACTGCTTGTTTACTTCTGTAATGTAGTTTTCTTTCTTTCCACTCCCCTCGTCCCCCAAAATCAAGAGCTGAAGAGATCTACTTATTGCTAAATCGTGTGCCACGTGTTGCTTCGCCATTAGTCTTTGTTAGGACTTGAAATGCGTGTTTCTTCCTGATAGGTCGAATTTTGAGGCTGCCCCAATAGCCTCCACCTTGCATGGTCGGTTCTGACTGATCAGGGCCTGTTCAGGATAGGCTGGCACACAATTCGATGTTGGTTGGGCTGACGGATAAGGTTGGGCCGACTCAGGTTTGCAGACTTGTGGGCTGATGAGGAAATCACCTGGGTTCAGAAGGGGCCGAGCTGGGTTGGATGTTTGTTGGGCCGAGCTCTGGGCTTTAGTTTGAATCTGGAAACTAGCCCTTGTGCTTCAACTAACTGCTACCTTTGTTTTTGCAGATCCAAGTCTAAAAGTCTTTGAAGAATTAGGCTGGGCTTCCTTTATAGGCTAAATTTCAAAATTCTTGTATACCAAAGTATGGTAAATGTGTAATGATGTTTAATGATTGTACCAAATTTCTAATTTTTGAATCATACACTTTGGGATAGTTTCCTTTCGAATTCAATCCCCATTATCGAACTCAAATGCTCTCACACGAAATTGAAACGAAAGATCGGACTATCACTCTTGAATAGCAAAACTCACTCTTGAATAGCAAAACTCTCTTCTGTTGTGTAAATTCAAGTCACAAGTTTTTTTTCGTTTTATATCCGGACAAAATGTGGTGTCTACTGTTGCCCCCCTTTTGTATATCTCTTTGTATAAAGAGTTATACAAAGTTTCTATAAAGACACCACATCTCAGAAGTAGAAATTGAGCTGATGCTTGGTAATAATGACGTATCCATATTGTTATGATGATGGTAATCAAATTGTATAAGAAAATGGCAGTGATGAAATCAAACTGGCCATTCGGTAACAACTAACAACGATATATTCAAGTTGTTCGTGATAGGAACAAATTGAACGATTTTGGAACATGTTAGCGATGAAATCAAGCTAATCAATTTGTGTAAATCAGGTCGCATGTGATAGAAATTTAGACGAACATCGGAATAAGTGTTAGCGATAAGATCAAGCTAACCGTGTTGTAACAACGATGTACTCAAATTTTTTTTGTGTAAACAGATATTGTACTCAAATTGTCTATGATAGAAATCAAATAGAACAATGAGGCAGATGTTAGCGATAAAGATCAAGCTAATAATTTTGTAAATGATGATGTACTTAAATTGTTTGTGATAGAAATCAAACGAAACAATTGAGAAAATGTTAGTGGTAGAGATCAAACTAACAATCTTGTAAAGGATATTGTACTCAAATTGTCTATGATAGAAATAAAATAGAACAATGAGAAAATGTTAGTGATAAAGATCAAACTAACAATTTTGTAAATGATATTGTACTCAAATTGTTTGTGATAGAAATCAAACAGAACAATTGAGAAAATGTTAGTGATAGAGATCAAACTAACAATCTTGTAAAGGATATTGTACTCAAATTGTCTATGATAGAAATCAAATAGAACAATGAGAAAATGTTAGTGATAAAGATCAAACTAACAATTTTGTAAATGATATTGTACTCAAATTGTTTGTGATAGAAATCAAACAGAACAATGAGAAAATGTTAGTGATAAAGATCAAACTAACAACTTTGTAAATGATATTGTACTCAAATTGTTTGTGATAGAAATCAAACAGAACAATGAGGAAGATGTTAGCGATAAAGATCAAACTAACAATTTTGTAAATGATATTATACTCAAATTGTTTGGGATAGAAATCAAACAGAACAATGAGAAAATGTTAGTGATAAAGATCAAACTAACAATTTTGTAAATGATATTGTACTCAAATTGTTTGTGATAGAAATCAAACGAAACAATTGAGAAAATGTTAGTGATAGAGATCAAACTAACAATTTTGTAAATGATATTGTACTCAAACTGTTTGTGATAGAAATCAAACAGAACAATGAGAAAATGTTAGTGATAAAGATCAAACTAACAATTTTGTAAATGATATTGTACTCAAATTGTTTGTGATAGAAATCAAACAGAACAATGAGAAAATGTTAGTGATAGAGATCAAACTAACAACTTTGAGAAAATGTTAGTGATAAAGATCAAACTAACAACTTTGTAAATGATATTGTACTCAAATTGTTTGTGATAGGAATCGAACAGAACAATGAGTAAATGTTAGTGATAAAGATCAAACTAACAATTTTGTAAAGGATATTGTACTCAAATTGTTTGTGATAGAAATCAAACAGAACAATGAGAAAATGTTAGTGATAAATATCAAACTAACAATTTTGTAAATGATATTGTACTCAAATTGTTTGTGATAGAAATCAAACAGAACAATGAGAAAATGTTAGTGATAAAGATCAAACTAACAACTTTGTAAATGATATTGTACTCAAATTGTTTGTGATAGAAATCAAACAGAACAATGAGGAAGATGTTAGCGATAAAGATCAAACTAACAATTTTGTAAATGATATTGTACTCAAATTGTTTGTGATAGAAATCAAACGAAACAATTGAGAAAATGTTAGTGATAGAGATCAAACTAACAATTTTGTAAATGATATTGTATGTTAGTGATAAAGATCAAACTAACAATTTTGTAAAGGATATTGTACTCAAATTGTTTGTGATAGAAATCAAACGAAACAATTGAGAAAATGTTAGTGATAGAGATCAAACTAATAATTTTGTAAATGATATTGTACTCAAATTGTTTGTGATAGAAATCAAACAAAACAATGAGAAAATGTTAGTGATAAAGATCAAACTAACAACTTTGTAAATGATATTGTACTCAAATTGTTTGTGATAGGAATCGAACAGAACAATGAGTAAATGTTAGTGATAAAGATCAAACCAACAATTTTGTAAAGGATATTGTACTCAAATTGTTTGTGATAGAAATCAAACAGAACAATGAGAAAATGTTAGTGATAAAGATCAAACTAACAATTTTGTAAATGATATTGTACTCAAATTGTCTATGATAGAAATCAAATAGAACAATGAGAAAATGTCAGTGCGTAGTGGTATTTCGCACGAAAAGTTTCCACGTGTTTTTATACGAATATATTTTAGAAATTTGGAAAATGTTTGTGATGCATAGCGAGTCCCTTTGATGATTAAAGATGTTATGCAGTGAGTTTTGAAATGATTTTGACAATGATTGTGTAATGTGTCATGCAAATGATATTGTGAATGTTAAGTAAAAAAAAGATGGTATGATGCATTAGACAATTGGTATGCAAATATGTTGTTTTGTTTGGTTTTTTTTTTTTTTTGCGTTTTAACCCGAGGTACCTTTAAATTGCTCATCCTCCAGGAATCGTCATTTCCTTTTGATCGACTTGATCCTTAGGTCATGTTTATGTTGGAGTGACTTTCAGCTTGCTCGCTTGAAACTTATCTTCGTGGTGGTAGTTGTACGAGGGTATACTTTGTGGGGTGAGCAGGTGATGTATATTGCTTCATTCTTCTTGTCGGCCAGGCTTGGGCCCACATGTTTTACATTTGTACATCTCTTGGTATGTGCGGTATGTTGGTTCCTCCTCCTTCGGGCCATGAAGTTGAAGGATAGTAGGTTTGCTGGTTGGTTTAATGAGATTGAATGCTCTCTAACTCCTTGGGATTTCTTCATCAACTCATGAGTGAAAAGTTGATTTCTGATTCTTGGGTACTCGGACTTCCCCATATTCCATGGTGTACCAGTTTTGCCCCCGAAGATCTGTTGCTCACTTTCTATTCTCCGGAACAAAGAGTGACTATATCAATCTTGACTTAAGACGAATGCAAAAATGTTTGAAAATGTTTATTAGAGAATTAAAATTGAAAGCCATGTCAAGACTTTGGTTTCGAGAAGTGTGTGCAAACTGGAGAAAACCGTTTTTGTGCGGTAGTCGTCATATTGCCAAATTTGGTTTTCTAAGAGAAAGGTAAGCCAAGCCATGAGAATATCAGCAAGCCCTCGCTCTCACTCTTGCTTTCGATTTTGATCTCTCTCACTCCCTCTTTGGATTTCGCTCAACACTCATTCCTATAGGTGATTTGAGTGTACGACACTTCAGCTACCATTAAGATGCTGGTCGCCTTGAGACGTCGCCTATATGTTGTGACCAACTGTGTTCCTTGTGAAGATTTACTCAAATATGGAAGCCCTTAGTATGATTGATGTAGGAGGCCTCCATATGGCTTCGTCGCAGACATTTTTAGTCTCCCATGAAAGAGGCTTTTGTCCGATATGACCTCGAGGATACGAGTCTCCTTGTTCTTGAGGTGTAGTTTATTCAGATGGGTGGCGAGTATATGAAATCTTAATATTATTCGTATAAAGCTTATTGTAGAGGGATTTTGGCTTTTTCCCCCAGAGTATGTGATTGACTCGATGGGTTAACAACCACTATTATCCGGATCCTTTTGCTGACAAAGTCTTGTTCGAAAATACTGGCGGTTTCTTTTTGGGAAT